GACGAAAAGAGTGACAGTGCTGATTTGTGTACATGCGACTAACTTGGGATTCCTTGGAACATTGTTTTCATCATTTGGGACTGGATTGTGGCCAAACTTTTTTCAAAGTGTACGAACATAGATCACCAGCAGTGACAGCCTTGTGGGGAAGCTGGCAGAGAGCAGAATTCTGGTGGTTCAATTTTTTACATGTATTTTTTGAACGATGCAACGGGACATGATGGAGTGTGAGTCGCATAAATTTTGTGTTTTGCCTGACCGTTATCGTGCGAATTTCCCATTCTTATGATTCTAAACGGAAACAAATATACCATTTACCAGGTAGGTAAATGTTTAGTAAGGATTTGCTGCACATTTTGTATAGATAGGGATGAAATTTACAAGGCTTTCTGATTTACATGTTAGATATTGTTTGTATATGTTTGGGGCTGTGTATTGTAATTGTGTTTGAATATTTTTATTATAGAAGGTTATATGATAGTGAGGTTCCCTAATAATTGTGGAGGAAAAATCATATAATAATTGTATTTTTCGAGTTGAAATAAATGTTTTATCAGCATTTCCATCACGTCTGTTGTGTTGATATTAGCCATGTTGGTGGTCAAGCTGATGCGGCAGTGTTGTATACGTGCGCAGTGAAGCGGTCATGAAATCAGACGAATTTTTAATCCAAAATTGATAGCGTCTAATTGTATTGATTGACCAATCAAAATCGAGCATTTCACGTAGCCATGGTAGCATATGAAATAACAGCACAAGACAAAGAGGGGCAAGAGATCACTAGCGGCCAAGTTAGACCACCATAACAGGGACCGTGGGGAACTTACAATCCCTTAATGATCAGCTGCTTGCGACTGTACGCATTTTGCGATTAAATACTGTAGATACATACACTGTATCTGCTCTCGGGGATTATATCGTCAGGTTGCAGGGGCGGATACAGCCTTTTGAGAAAGGGTGTGTGTGTGTGTGTGTGTGTGTGTGTGTGTGTGTGTGTGTGCGTGTGCGTGTGTGCGTGCGCGCACACACTTCATTTAATAAACTTTCAGGACAAAAGGTGTGTGTGCACACCCCTACAATACCCCCACCCCTCTCTGGATCCGCCTATGCTTTGTGAGCATTCGGGGGCAGGGGTTAGGATTGGGATTTCAAAATGTTTGGGAGGTGAAGTCGGCATTTCCAGATTTGACGTTCCAGTTACAAACATGTTGCCACATGCAATGCCCCCTTGTGGGTTGAACCAAGTGCCACTTGGATATTTCATCGGGTACACAATTGGCTTGCCACTGAGTGAGTTTGTTGAGTGTCCACCCGGTGGGACGGTGTATCCTCGACTTTCCTCGAGCATTCGTGTCATAACTGTATGCTGCCATTCATTCCTAAGAGGTTAACAGCGTGCAGTCTAGGAGATAGACAAGAATTTGTCGCTTTTGTTAACCGATAAGCATTAGAGATAATTTCATTATAATTATAGTCATTAGACACCCAATCCATGTTAATGGTTCATTGCCTTATCATAATGTAACCATGTTCAACCAACCAATGAACATATAGTGGACCAACTGTAAAGTCACGCTACATGATTTTCTATGGCTGTTCACTGTATCTGGTACATTACCATTTTATGATGAAAGAGGCAGTAGACACAGACTGGCGAGCTCAGGAACATTTAGAAAATACGATTACTCTTCTAACCGAGACTATTGTTGCGATCCTGTTTATTATGGTTCATCCTCAGGAACAAGAAGAAAAGGCGACACAAACAGTACCTTTAATTTTATGGAAAACGCGTTTGTTGATGTGCGGAAATACACAAACTCACATGCTTAGATATGATATTTCAGAAAATGCTTAGAAATAGACCCAGTTAGTCCCATAACGCTGTTAGAAGGGTGTTTATGAGATAAAAATTGTGCAGGTATGTTTAAGAAACATCGTTGATTCAAAGCACCCAGGTGTCAGGGGGGAATGCTGAAACATCGAAGCGTTTACCACGTGTAACACCCCCTTAGCACTTGGGACAACACGACACGTAGTGTCAACAAAGAATGGTAGCCTTTCTTGCTTAAGGTACGGCTTGTTGGGCACGGAGAACGACCTGCACACAAGTCAGGCAGAGGCTACCAGGGGAAGGAGGCGAAGTGATGCTGGCAGTAGATAGCTGTGTAGACTGGTCAGTTCCTCCTTCAACTCCCCTGGCTTGTCTTTCTTCTGGTTTGCCCGCTTTCTTCTCGATGTCTGTCGGCTCTTCCCTGTTTGCCTGTCTTGTCTGCTTTTAGAAGTGAGCGACTAACAATCTGCATCGGTGTGTAGTTCTCACGGACATAATCTGCATAGGTCGGCAGTTCTCATGGACATACTCTGCCTATTTTGACATATGTCCGACAAGGGTGCACAACATTAGTGTTACACACAGATAGTCTGCACACATACAAATCATGATTGAAAGATTAAGGGGAATGACTTGATAATATTATATGGGTAGCAAATGTTAAAGTAGATAAAGTAACCGAAATTCACCGATTGTCGCACAGGCGATATGACATATGTGTATATGTATATGCACAGTAAAACTGATAGTAAGTAAGCTGATAGTGGTCATTGGGTGTTTCCGACATTTGCCACGACGACGAAAGTAAAAGTTTAACGTCGGCTTCTGGCGTAAGCCAATTTCGCCGACGTGGTAGGTGGGAGCTAATATAATAAATAATAAATGTTAATAAGGGATAAACCACCTTACCCAAAAAATATAAATGCTGGGGCGTTAAACCTAAGTTGAATTTGGAATAAAAAACGTTTATAAACATAAATAGAGATAAAAATAATAAAAAGCCAAGTTCAAAAAGGAGAACGGAGGGATAAATAGGAATAGTGATTGTTGGTAAGCAAGAGATAGAGTTGAAATAAACGATAGGTGACATAAAAGGGGGTGGGGGGACGGGTGTGTGTGAATACTGAACATGTATAGCATAGGGGGCAGATATTTAAATGTGGTTAGGCTGCATAAGTTTTATAAGGGGCTATATAAAGAATGAAAAAAGTGGGTTAAGTTGGACGGGGAGAGGGGGGGGCTGAGGGGAGCAAAGGAAGCGCGGTGAAGCATACGCCGGGTTGAGAGACGAGCAGTGGTAGTGAGCTGGCTGGCGAGTGACCTTGACCTTGGCAGTATGGGCTTGTGACGGGTTGTTTACATTAGCGGGAGGGGAGAGCGAGCGTGGCGTGTGCAGAGTATGGATAAATGAAATTGAGCGCCGTGTTTAAAGTTGTAGGGGGCAGAATGGATAACTGAGGTTTAAAGCTGGCCTGAATGTTGCAGTAAGTGGGAGGTGAGAGAGGTGGCTGTAGCTTATTAATGAGTTCTAGATTCTTTTTAGAAGGTTTGAGTTTTGTAGAAATAATGTTAGGGCGTTGAAGATACTTGTTGGGTTGTGTGGGTTGAGGAGTAGTGGGATGTTATTGTGAAATTTAGAGGGAATGCTGTTTTGTAGTTGCTTAATGTTTGTCTTTTGTAGCTGGCAGTGTATGAGTATGTGATTTATGTCTTCTTGGGTATTACAGTGTGTGCATAGTCCATCTGCATGTCTATTTTGTTTGTAAAGTGTGTGGTTGAGGTTTGTGATGCCTGTGATAAGTCTGTTTATGGCCGTGTCAATATTTTTAATGTTTGAGAATGTAGGGATTTTCCTTAAGGGTGATTTTATAATGGAAGTAACCCATGTTGATTTGTTGTTGTTTATGTTGTGTTGAAAGTCAGTATGAAGAATATTTGATTTAATGAGTTGTTTAGTTTCTGTTTTGGATGTGTGAAAGTTTATATTTGGTGATTTGTGTGTTGTTGCTAATTTGGCTGCTGTATCTGCTGTGTCGTTTCCTAATATGTTTGAATGGCCTGGTATCCAGGTGAAAGTTATGTTTTTATTTGCTCGTTTAAGTGAGTCAGTTTGGATTGTGATATTATGAATGAGATCAGGGCTAGATTTGGAGTACTTGGTATGTATTTGCCTAATGGAGTTTAGTAAGTCGGTGAGAATTAGGAAGTTAGTTTGTGGGAGGGTAGGTATTAGGTGGAGTGCAGTGAGGATAGCTGTTAGTTCTGCTGTATGTATTGAGGTGTGGTTTGTATAGTGCAGGTTGGTTGTAATGGGGGTGGGTGTGTGTGTGTGTGTGTGTTGGACATGTATGCCTATACCAGTTGTCTTGTTTGGGTTGATTGAAGCGTCTGTATATATATGGGTGTGTGTTGGGTAGTTATTGTTCATATAGTTGTTTGTGATGTTTGTTATGGTGGGTTTGTTGGTGTTTTTGGTAACTGCTGGAGAATGTTGTCTAGGATGGTGTCTGTGGTGGGTGGGGGTATGTCGTGAATGTAGCTTGTAATGGGAGGTGTATGTTGTATGTCGTTTAGCTGTTGTGCCTGTAGTAGTTTACGGAGGTGGGTGAGGCATGGAGCTTTTAGGGGATTTAATTTAATTTGACATTTGCCAGGAATTAATCCAGACATAAATAGTCCTGTAGTCGATAACCTCGATGACATGAAAGCCAGCGCAAGTAATAATACACCTGCCTAGCGCTTGGGACATTTAATTGTTTTAACTGTGCCGGCTTTCATGGCATTGTGCTTAACCATTGGCGTCCCTTGTTAAGTTCCACTACTGTTATCTCATCATTGATGCCTGTATTAATCCCCAGCTTCTATTTGTCCAGTGCCGTTGGCAATAACCTACTGGCTTCCCTTGTTGTTATCTTATCACTGTTATACATGTATTTATATAGCCATATGTTTCCTAATTTTAAGAATATACTCCGAAACGTCCTGTTCCTCAAAATAGAGACGGGATATGTCCGTCCATAAACTCTCGCCTTTAAAAGTATCTTCATTCTTTTGAATAAGGACATTTCGCCACAGGACCGACAAGTAAGCCACAAGAAATATGTCGCTGGTTCCCACATTGAAATGCTCCTCTTTTGAAATTCGAATGTAATAATGAATGAAAACTTACCTAAACCTCCAAACAAGTGTAGTTTGTCCTTCCCTGAAGTGTGCCTGTTCACTGATATCAATTCTTTGTCACCGAGACGGGCATTCACATAACATACTATGTTCTGTAATGTCAAAAGCGACCTACATATATACCTCTGTAGGTGGCGACACGGGACGGTGCGTCGCTCTACAAAGGCTCCAGTTCTCGCAATGTTAGAGGAAAATGAGTGTGGAAAATATTTATGTACTGGTTGAATGTAAACTAAGCTTTATGTTCACAGTCTGCTGACAGCTTGACTCGGGGTGGAGATGTAATTATTTCGGATTTGTATTGTTTACTAGGGTCGTTGCTGACACGGCAATATTTGAATAAATAGTATGATGTTGAAATGCATATAATGAAATAAATAAGATTCCATGATTTGGCAATAATATATTCTCGTGAATTCATTCTCGAAAATTAAGATAAGAAGACTTATGGTCTGGGATTCGGAAAGGAGGTGATGAATTCCATTCCTTTCAGCTGTTTAGTGATTATGTTGACGTGAATCCTCATTCTCTGATAGTGAATTTTGTTAGAGAGTCTGAGGACTTGTCGCTTCCTGAAGTGAAAATAAGATGAGGAAAAATACAGTTCCTGAATACATGTTCACAGGTAATGCTGCCCAGTATAAATTCAACTGCGATTGTTTGGATTCTCTAGAGGGAAAGAATTCGATAAGCTGACAAATCGGTCAATTTTCAACAGGAATTTATGCCTGTGGGGGATAAGGAAACTAGCTTTCGTCATGTTCATTTACTGCGGTGTCCTCCCTTTTATGAGAACTCCCAGTTGTGAGACACATTAATTAATGGTTCAGTGCACATAGGTGGTGTTTCCACATCCCTACAATGAAAGTGGGATCAGCTCAGCCCAGTACCCACAGGAGGCATAGTTCATTGATGAGTTGATTCATGAAATAGATTATCAAAGATTATATTTACACAGAAGAAATAGTTCATTGAATATTTTATTTATTCAGAAGAATATGTAATTATGATAACACATTTTTATTGCCTATTATGAAGTTTGAAAGTCATTTTGGTTTAAACATTTTTTATTATTATTTTATGAAAATGCATAAATATATTTTTAAGTACATATAAATATATACAGATTACATCAAATACAACTATTCTCTAAGTGTAGTCATAATTAGAGACTTACAGTTGCGTGTGTCTAACAAGCTATTGTAGGAATATAAATCAATCACGATTATTTCAGAGTTATTTCTTAAACTATAGCTAATAGTTTCGGAGACGGAGTAAATCTGAGTAGGTAAATTAATTTCTCTTTGATCACGAAGTTACCTACACAAAGTGTTTCATTATTAAAGACATTTACCTGAGAATGTTAATCAATTTATCTTATGAAGTTTCATTAAGTTACCTCCACAAGATTCAGTTACATAGTAAATCAGTAATTAGCTAGGGTGAATTAATTCTATCAAACAGGGGAGTATAGTGTGTTTTCGTTGTTATTTACCTACTCCATTGTCTCATAACTGTGAGTCTCACAAATGGGAGTTCTCACAAATGAGAGTAGACCGTTACTGCAGGTCGTCAAAGTACCAGAGGGCATTATGTCAAGCCGACCGAGACGAAGACAGGAAGTGGAGTAGAGTCGGTACATGTGTCATCCTCACGGTTGTCGACAGTGTTTCAAGGGGCATCCGGCAGTGGTAAAGATTAGATTTACAGAACTTCTTTATGGTTGCTCAGATACAGTTGGTACTTGCAATAGTGAAAACGATTCCATTTTAATGAAAGACTTTGTTCATGTTGCTAGGGCATCGGATACAATGGGCAAAGATTCTGATAATGCATCCAAATCCACGTCACGTTTCACCAAGTAAACAACATCTTTTGGGTTCATCAATGTCACACTTTTGTGGACACCGACAGAAAACACGATCGCCTCGGCAAAGTACAGTACGACTCCAGCATTTCCCGGTACGTTTATAAAAGGAAGAATATACAAAAAATCGGGGCCCAGAACTTCTGAATACTATTGAATCCAGTCACATTATACATTACCTTTATATCCAAATATATATAATGCAAAAACACCACGTCTCCATATTCGTATAGTGTTGAATCGGCGATTGCAGAAAAGTTCCATATGTGTATACGAAGTATATTCGCCTCCACCTGTGCTACTGTCATTGGGTCCAGTACAATATCTTCACGATTGCCAGATGACGGGTCCATTTATACAGCAGAGACTAAAATGTTGCATAATGTGTATAAGAAGTATATTCGCCTCCACGTGTGCTACTGTCATTGGGTCCAGTACAATATCTTCACGATTGCCAGATGACGGGTCCATTTATACAGCAGAGACTAATGCCATATTACCAGCTCTAAAGCGTGTACATAACCAGTGTCAACATATGATCAAGGTTGATGACTGGCTGTTGTCTCCGTATGACTATGGCTTCCTGAAGCATCCTTTGGCGCCAGTTGTTGTTGTTGGTGGACAGGACTTTGGTGGCTTCCCGTTTGATGGCGTGGTCCTTGTTCTTGAGGATATTAACTGAGATTGTTAGTGGCTGTACCCTCAAAGGGGGTTGACGTAGCGTAAAATTATTGTCCTCCTGCGAGGGTATGTAAGTCCCAAAACATTTGAAGTCAATTTAAGTGTACCAGGTTTTTAATCGTAGTATTGTTGTGTTTTTAATGTATGGCTTAATGTCAGCATCAACGCCATTGTCTGAAGGGATGGTGTAAATCCAGCTAGGGTCCATGCAGGTAGCAAAAGTAATGTCAGTCCCCATGGTCCCTAGTATGGTGATCTCCCTTCAGTTGATGGCGATCTCTAGCCACTTTTTTATATTGTATTGTCCAAATACTGCTATTTGTTTTAACTTTCTACGCTAGTTTTACTTCAAATTGTGATATTTTAGTTGTTTTACTGTCCTTCCTCGGCAGGTTTTTATAATATCTATAAATATTCTATTTCAAATGTTCTCGTCACGATATGGCTGCACTATTGCCGATGTGACGTTAAATAATAACTCACTCACTCTTGAGGATATGTTCCGATATGGCAGACGTCTGGTCGACACTTGTTTTAGTGTATCACTGGCTTCATGTTTGTATTACATATTCATTCCTCAACATTGTTAAATATCGTTATACATGTCTTCTTTGTAGTGCTTCATGTATGTAGTGCTTCGTGTGTGTGTGTGTGTGTGTGTGTGTGTGTGTGTGTGTATATACTCCCCACCATTCACCCGATGAATGAGCAAGCATACACTCCGAAACGTCGTGTCACTCACAATAAAGAAGTTGACATCCATAAATCTTGCTGTTCTTATGCATTATACACCTAAACGCGATTCAAAGATTTAACTTGATCGTGTTTGATAACAATTGCTAGCAGTACTTTTATTGCATATGTACCTCATAGTCTCCGCGATTCATTTGACATATTATTAGTGATGCGTTTCTGGAGCAGTTAAGTATGCATCATTCAAGCAAATATTTTTACTTGAGGAATCTTGCATTCCGTCGTGTTTCTGATGCTGTTTTTCTTATGTTGTAAGTTTAAAATGTTACGATTTTACGTGTCAGGATTTTTTTTATAGAAAAGGTATGATTTACAAACAGAGATCGCCAAGAATTAGTTATTTCAGCAATGGGGTCGAATACGTGTCTGGTCAAAATCAAAATTTGTTTCCCTTGAGTCTGATGATAATAACAGGGGTTATATAATTTGAAACCATCGCTTACACGTGAATGAGAAAACACATTTTGGATATGATCATGAATATTAGTTTGGACAGCCATCGTTTGGGTCACACAGGTTGTGAGCAGGGTGTGCATCACAAGCGGCAGGCGCTGGTGTACCGGATAGAATGTTTAAGAGCCATGGAAGAAGGACTTTTACCATGTAAAGATGGTTACATGTATATTAGAACTTGGCGCTTTGATTTGTAGATTTGAGTGTTGCTATGTTGCTGTTTATTTAACAGAACATCCGTCATTTTCATGTTTGAACTGATCTGATTAACCGTTTTCTGAAGGTTGCACATAATTTTGCCGTTCTTTACTTTGTTTAAGTTGCCGCGGGTACCCCCAAATAAGATCATGTTGCGTTTTTATTTTCTCATGTTCGGTTCAATTAAAGGATCTTTAAAAAGGTCACTTCACATAGTTTAGTTTCGCTCTTAATGAACACCTGGGTATATATAATATCCACAAAATACAATTAAAAACGGTAATATTTCATTTTATTACCCACGTGGTCAACGTATGGGTAGTTGCATTAATCTCGTACGTCACACGTGTGTCGTATCGCGTTGACCTGTGTCGTAACGCCTTGACCTGAGATTCCAACGATTTGATTGGATAACCGATGACCTCTCAATTAGGTCACATTCTTACGTAACTATATTTTCATTCATAACAAACACGTGAATTCATTCATTCTACAACTTAAATGCATTGTGGGAATGTAAGAATCGAGAACGTTGCCGTGTCGCTGTTTAATTGTGAGTCGAACTGAGACATTATATCCGTCGAAAAACATAAACGCAATGTTTCCACCAGTGATGTTAGCCGAAAGAAGCAACTGCAAACCAAGAAACGGGGTGCTACCGAGTAGTTTACTATAGGAGGCTGTTCGAGGCGATGACAACTGACATGCATCGTGACGTCGGTTACCAAGGCAGTGACGTCATTTTGTGTGACGTCATGCAAATACTGTACTACAGTACAAAACTTTTCCGCAACCCCTTTATGAAACCGGTTTCGGTTTGAAACCAAAATATTAACAAAAATACGCTATTTTGTCAGTTTAATGCATGTAAGACGTGGGTAATAAATAAAATACCACACTCGGTCTCATTACATACGAATTATACGAAACTCGTGACCTTCCTATGTTATCTGACCTCGCTTTCGCTCGGTCAGATACCATAGGAAGGACACTCGTTTCGTATAATTCGTATGTAATGAGACCTCGTGTAGTATTCTCTATATACAGCTTGTATTAGGAATCTAAAACGCACCTCCCTTGAAAGTATTTCGCGATTACGCAAGATAATGAGGTAGATGGTCAC